CGTTTTGGTCAAAGTAATTGTGGGTCATTTAGTTCTGTTACTCGTATTTTATCGATATCGGGGTATTTATTGATAGTAAAGTTGGTATATTTTTAGTCACTTTCGTGTTATAATCCGAACAGTGGCGTAGCTTGGTGTGGGCGTTTGCCCACCGCCTAACGCTCATAAGGCCTGGGGAAAGCTCAACCAACGGCATGTAACCTGATCAATTAGAAATGTCCACACATTTTTTTAGTCCTACTTAAGTTAGTGTTAACTTAACTGGTGTATAAAGTATAAGTGCATTGTACAGAGAGGCTCTAGGCAGACACATAGGTACAAGCATAGACCAAAAAAAATTATTTACTCAACGCAACTTGCTAGTGAGTCCGCCTTTATTATTATTTATTTTTATTTTAATAGAGAAATACATTATCAATGTCACATGAACCATCAACATTATTATTGTACTGTGAAAAATATGTGATGCGATGGTATTAGCCATGCCTCTCTCTCGTACTATATATACATACCTGGGAATCAAAGCAACAATTAAACGTTGTTTATTGTATGTTTACTCAGTTTGTTGTGTACATTAAAGACAAAATGTCGACAAGGAGTTCAAGCTCACAAAGGTATTGGAGCCCAAATGTTCCCGTACAGTTCGGTTTCAGAGGAATTTCCTCACACGGACCTTCCGATTGTGGAATGAACTCCTTAGGTTTACCCGGTAGGCTACAATATGGGATTCTTTAAGAAAGAAGTAAATAGGTTTATAAAGGGTCGGCAAGGCGCATGTAATGCCCTATGTATTGCAAGTGTTCCCAGGCTACTGTAACCGCATACCATCAGGTGGGCCGTGTGCTTTTCTTGCCACCGCCGCAGTATAAATAAAATATAAAATTATATTATTGCTATTCTCTAATAAAGTCAAATAAAATGTACTATCGAAAAGTATACACCAAAACGCTTGTAGTTCAGTACAAATGATAGTACTCTGTTCCTATTCGTTTCATTCAGAAAAGTTCTCTCGTGTGAACGGAAATTTTTGTTTTCAACAATTACACACCAGTTAATCGTATCAACAGAGTTTCAGGGGAACGGTGCAACACAGACCTAGAGCTTATAGAACACACCTCCCACAAAATCCCCATTTCATTGTAAAATGCTTAGGTGACATAGAGAATTAAGTTTTTCGGTTTAACCCTTTGCGTACCGTCATTATAGACACAATTAAAGAACAATAGGTTGCGGTCACCTGTGTCCTCGCAGTGTTTGACAGTTTAAGAAAAACTTTCATTAAAATTCGCACATGAAATAGACATAAAGTACCTAGGCATTATTCGCATCACACGTGTCACCGAACGAGAAATACCTCTTCGGGAATTATAATAAGGCGTGGTGTTTTGATAATATA